TTTCAATATCGCACAACGCCGAGCAGGTAGAGACCTTGAAAGTAGCAGCGCTTTCGTCTAGTACCAAGCGTTTTAAGGCGGCTTGGACAGCGGAGCTGCCTTTCACAGCGTCGTCGAACCGAGCCCGGCATTGGCGTTCGAGGGACCACTGGTCAGTGACGTCTCCTCGGAGCTGCTCCCACAGACGTGCCACGAAAGCAAAACTGGCGATGCTGCGATCTGCCCCCGAGTCCTTCGGCAAGAGAGCAATCCATGCCCTGAGCATCTGCCAGGGCCAGGCGATGTTGTTTTCCATCGCCTGGTAAACGTCGAGCAACTCCTGGCGGGCAGCTGGCGGCAGCCTAGCTATGTCACGCGCACTAATATTGACACATCCTCTGGACTTACGCTCGGGCGTGCGCTGGAGGATAAGGTCGAGGCGAGCCAACTCAAGAGGAGGGAGGGGAGGGGCCTCCAGAGCGCACTTTCTTACCTCTTGAAATGCTGCATGGAGCTCGTGATCGTTACTGCGACGAGACCATTTGTTTATCCAGGACTGGGCCCGGACATGCATGAGCTCGACTGGGGTAGTCGTCGGCAAGCTGCCTTCTCCGAGGGTTTCTACCGTGGTGCGAGGTTTCGGCTTCACCATCTTATGTAATGTGCCGAGACTGCTGGGTTGTTCCGCCCAGTCGCTGAAGCTCTTAAGAGCTCGATCTGTGACCGTGCGAGAGGCTCTGCTGAAGTTCCGGTCGGCTGCGCCGGCTAATAAAACGACCTGCTCCGCTCCTAGATTCGGTAGCTCCCCGAGCGCGCGCCGCCAGGACTTGACCGCGGCGCCGTCGAGGGAGGGAAGTTTCAAATCGCCGAGCCGAGGAGCCAGGGACTCCACGCGGTCCCAAATCTGCTTGGTAGTTCGCTCCCTGCCAGGCTTGGAGTCGGTCTTTGAAAGCACTCTGCCCAACAAGGCAAGGTGGGAGCTCAAAACAGCCCACCAATTGACATCATTGTGCACAGACTGCAATGGTGCCGACTTCCGCGAAACAGGACGTTTGGAAAAAGGCTCGACCACAGCTCGTCCCTTAAAGGAGGCTTGGGCCTCTGGCGGAATGGCGTATGCTTTGCAGTAAAATGATTCCATACGAGAAGCCCACGCGCCAAACTGCACAGCAAGCTGTTTAGAGGCAGCGGGGGCCGACAGATACCCTAAACAGCTTCGGATCTCGGTAGGGGCTCCTCGCCGGACCTCCTCCAGGGCCCTTGGGTCGGGTTCCACCTCGTCCCAAAGATCTCCTAACGTCCTGGTGTCAGGCGGATGAGGTCCAGGAGGAGGAGGAGGAGGAGGAGGAGGAGGAGGAGGAGGAGGAGAGGGGTCATCACCTGGGGCCTGGTCGGCCACTGGGATGTCTTCTTCGGGAGCCTGACCTACCTCTGGGAAGCCATCATCGTCCTCGGGCGCCTGGCCTACCTCAGGGTGGAAATCTCCTGGGTTCTGGCCGTGGCCTGGAGCCGGCTCAAAAGGTGCGGCGGCATCCGAGAAACCAGGAGCGCCCTCTCCACCGCGCCGGGGCTTCGAAGCCCGCATGGGGGAGGAGGGAGGGAGGAGGAGGGGGAGGGGAGAAGGAGAAGGGGTGGAGGGACGCAAGCGGCTACGCAAGGATTTTTTGCTATTCGGGTCAGGCAACCGCTTGGGCAGCGGTGGGTGCGGAAAAGGCTTGGGCACTGTACAAGTGAGGTGCTCCGCGTCGGCGGGGTCGAGGCCGATGTTTATCTGGAGCGCTGCGTGCGCCTTCCACTCCCCGTCCATAACCGAGCGAACGGAGCGTATGAACGGGGCGAGGTCCTTGGCGCAAACGGCGAAGTCGAACAACCGGCCCTCGCCAGCGAAGCTCGTGACCTCGACGTTTTCTGGAAGCAGCTGCGTACCGACGACTTTCTCCAACCAGTCGTCGAGATCGTTCGGCTCCACATTCCAGTCGCCAAAAGCAATCCATGGGGCAGCCTGCGCCGATAGGAAGCCGCCTAGGGCGCGAAGCTTGCGCAGATTCCTGCCCTTGACCCCGATGCCGTGGTCGAGGTAGATCTGGACCAGAACTATCTGCTGCCATGAGGTTCGGACGCTGACGGCTGAGAAATCGTGAAAGTCGATGGGGCCACTGCCAAGGGAACTCAGAGCTTGGACACCATGGCTGGTGCCGTAGCACTGGGAAGCGTGAGCTGCAAGATGTGAGAAGGAGTGGACGTTGAGGCCCCTCTTGGCCGCGATGAGGGTACCTCCTGCTTGTAGCACGTGGTCTCGGGGCATTGCGGGCGAAATGACAGGGCGCCATCCAGCCTTAGCGATGTTGTCACCGAGGTCATTGATATCAGCAGGACCTGTATGGTGTTCGCACAAACCAACGACATCGTAAGCCTGCCACTGGCTTTTCAGATGCTCGAGCACCTTCGGGCCCCACCGAGTAATATTGCGCATGTAGATCTTCAGGCACCTGCTTCCAGTAGTGGAGGCGGCTGTGCCATGAGCGTGGTTATCGCAGACGCTGGCCGCGCCTCCCTCTTGATCGTGCCCGGGGAGGTGGGCGGCTGGTTGTCACTTGCTGGGGCCAGCGCCCTTGCCCTTGCCTGCCTTGGCCATGGCAGCGTCGAAGAGCTCGGCAGTGCGGGCATCAACACGGCTCTTGGTGGCTGCCTCCGCCTCGCGGGAGACGGTTGCGGCGGCGTGCGGCTCCTGCGCCTGCGACTGGGCCGCGGGAGGAGCCGCGCCGGCGGCGCCAGGGCTACCCTCTGGGGTTGCCGCGGGGGCGCCAGCCGCTGCCTGGCCGTCGTTGGTCTTCTTCCGCTTGTGGCTGACCAGCCTCGCCTTCTGTTCGCGGAGGCCTTCAATCTCGGCCTTCACCTGCGCAGCCATCGGGGTGAAATGATCTTGCACCAGCTTCTGGATGAACTCGCCGAGCTGCTGCTTCCGGTTGTTCCACTGCTCGATGACCGCCTCCGCGCCGTCGTCGAAGCTCCTCGAGGCCAACGTCGAGCTGCAACAAGTCGCCCTCCGTGATCTGGATGGCCTCGCCCTCCAGCAGCGCCATGAGGTCGATCCCCTGCTTCCCGTGCATGACCTGCGGGGCTGTCTTGGGGCGCGGTGCCAGGTTTGCACGTACCTCCTCCTCGGCGGCCTCAGCGGCAGCCAGGGCAGCAGACATGTCCTGGAGGTAGTTGGTGGCGTTGTCGAGCTGCTGCTGGGCCTTGTTGACCCAGTCCAAGGCGCCGTCATACTTGGATTGCGCCTCGCGTGCCGCCATGGCTGCACGCTGCAGCTGAACCTCAGGCAGCTCCGGCGGTGCGGGCTTTGGAGCAGACTTGGCAACCTGCTCCTTCAGCGATGCGAGGGCCGACTGGTCGATGCGCTTCGACAGCACCTGGAGGGCGTCGTTGACGACGATGTCCTCTTCTTCCAGGTCTATAACCACCTGGCCTCCTTTGGCTTTCTTTTTCTTATTCTTCTTTTTCTTCCTCTTGGGCCATTGGCCCGTGGCAGCGCCTGCCGTGCCCCACCTCCCGTCGGGCAGCGGTGGTGGCGAGAAAGACGGCCTTGGCGGCATTGCGGGACCGAATGGCGAGAAGAAGGGCGTAGCGAATGGGTTCGTCTGGAAAGATGGCAGCGGCGGCGGCGTCCACTGAGGAGGCGGCGGCACGGCTGCACTGGTAGGCACGAGCGGCAGCGTCGGCGGCGTTGCCCACTGCCCCTGCGGCGCCCGCTGGGACGTCTGCTGAGGCTTGAGCGCGCAGCCGCAGTGGTGGCACTTCTCATTCGTGCGCCAATTCCACTTGTAGCTGCACTGCCGGCATTGCACATACTGCTGGGCTGTCATACTGGTGGGGTCGCGAACCCCTGGCCGAATGTCTCTGGAGCGATCAACAAAACAACACGCCTCAACTGCTTGAGCCGAGGTTGGAAGTTCAGGAGAAGGCCCCTTGAGCCAAAATGGCTACGGGAGGAGGAGGAGGAGGAGGAGGAGGAGGAGGAGGAGGCCTTCTCCTTCTCGCCTGGCCCCCTCGCTCGCCGCCGATCCGGCGCCGTGCTCCGCGCCGCGGCAGAGCGCCAGGGTGGGGAGCCGGAGGCGGCGGGGAGCGGCCGTGCGCGGCAGCCGGCGGCCGCGCCGGGCGCCGCAAGAGCCCGGGGTAGGGCCCGGGCCGTCGTTTCCCGCGAGGGAGGGCGGGGAGGATCCAGGCTTAAGTCGGGCCCGTCCTTCTACAGGAGGAGCATCCAGAAATAGTTCAAACATAGTCAGGGGAGGATGCTTTTTTAACCATGTTGGATTCCGTTTCTATAGTATCTTTCATTTTTCGTTGAAAATCCCCCTGTAGGGGGGCGCGCCCGACTTGGACCTGGGCCTCATAGACAGGCGCGCGGCCCCACGGCCGCGAGCCCTCTGCTCCCGAGAGGCAGCGGCCGCTCAGCTCAGTTCAACTCCTGGCACCGAGGGGAGAGAGGCCGCCTCGACGCCCACCTCGTTCCCCAGACGTCCGGGTGCTCCAATCTTTTCGAGGCGTGGGCCCCGGAGGTCCAGCCCACTTCCCTATAGGGCCGGCTTGTCGTCCTGGGTCGTTTTTTCAGGCTCCCGAGGCTCGGCGAGGGCCCCTGGATGCCGAAACTCGTCGAAGTCCGGCCGCTCCAAATTTTTGCGGGAGCGTCTCCTATCGGGGGCGGAAAAGAGGGGGGTGATGACTAGGGGGAGTGGATATCATGGCGTGGGCCATGATATTTCCCCAGATCTCATGGCGCCTCTTCTCATTTCATTACGTCCCCGGCCCCCCCGCTGGGCCGCGCACATGCCGCCGGTCATGATTTGCACCCCCCCCTCTTGGACACCCCCCTCTTGGCCGCTCCCGATCCTATCCGGCCGCCCCAAAGGGGCCATGCAGCGGCAGTCCCAGCTCGTGCCTCCTGGCACGGCGGCGGACGTGGTGCTGGTCTTGGGGGAGGGGGGCGCCCTCCCCCCCCGCGCCCCCCGCCCCTCGCGGAGGCCGCACTCGCGGTTCTGCCTGGCGGGCGTCCGCGGGCTGGAGGCGCCCCGCAGCATCCTTCCCCCTGCAGTCGGACCGAGGGTATGATGTCGAGGTCGGTTCGGGGAGGGCACCCTCGTGTTCGTCGTGATTGTCGGATGTGTCTTGAGCATCCTGGGGGAGGATAGCCTCGAATGCTCTTCAGCTTGGCCGGCGGAGGGTCTTATGTTCTTGAAGGATGTTCTTCTGGCCTAGGCCCGACTGCATCCCCATCCACACCGGGCCATGGTGTCTCAGCCCCACCATCCCACCACCCTCCTCCTCCTCCTCCTCCTCCTCCTCCTCCTCCTCCTCCTCCCCCTCTCCTCCCCCTCCCCTCCTCCTCCTCCTCTCCTCCTCCCTCCCTCCTCCTCCTCCTCCTCCCTCCTCCCTCCTCCTCCTCCTCCTCCTCCTCCTCCTCCTCCCCCTCCTCCTCATGTGGGGGTAGGCCCCTCGAAACCCGAAGGGAAGAGCTCATATCCCCCACGTGGGAGGGCGGGGTGAGTCTGCCGGTGGGGCCCAGCCCGCGCCAGTGAGGGTCTGGATCGGTGAAGCGATGCGCTCGGCCCCTTCCCTCCCTCTCGCTCTGCTTCCCTGCGCGGCGGCCCCCCCATTTGATCAGAGCCCCGAATCATCAGGGGTAACTCGGGTCAGGGTTAACTCGGGTTCGTTTTTGGGAATCCGAACCCGAGTTACCCCGGACCCGAGTTACCCCGGATAATTCGGGCGTCCAGAGCCCAAAAATCATCAGGGGTAACTCGGGTCAGGGCTAACTCGGGTTCGTTTTTCGGGAATCCAAACCCGAGTTACCCCGGACCCGAGTTACCCCGGATAACTCGGGCGCCCAATTTGAGGATGGGTGCGCGAGCGAGAGCTCGAAGGTTTTTCGGGCATTCTTGATCTCGCGGGCAATTTCTCGCTCCCCTATTCACGAGCCCCGCCCGCCCCCCCCCCCCCGACACACACACACACACATAACACACAACACACAACACACAGCACCCACAAAACACACATACACACACGCACCCACGAAACACACATAGACACACGCACACACACACACATACACACACAGCACCCACAAAACACACACACACAACACACAACACACACACATACACACACGCACACACACACACACGCACATCAACAAAAACAAGTTTGCCAGCGCGGTCCCCAAGCACTAGGCAATTGAACCCTCGATGTGCAGTCTGTGTGGTGCAAGCTGTGTGGCGCAAGCTGTGTGGTGGCATGTATGTCGGGCAACCTTCGTGATGTAGTGTGATTGCGTGGTGCAAGGTATGCAGTATAAATTAACCTTGGTGGTGCAAGCCATGTAGTGCAAGACATGTGTTGTAAGCTACGTTGCAAAAGCATTGTAGTGTAATAGATGTGGTGTGAGCTATGTGGTGCAAGCTATGTGTTACAAGCACTGCTGCGTAAATTGTGTTGTGCAAGCTGTGAGTTGTATGTGGTGTAATATGTGAGGTGCAAGCTGTGTGGTAGGTTGCTCGAGGCGCCCGCGATGAGCCCACCGAGCGAAACTTCGGCAAACCCAGCCAGCGCACGCGGCGTTCACGAGCCACCCCAGGCTGCCCTCCAGGCGCTATCGTTACTCACACATCCAAGTTCTGTCATACGCAAACTCATAACTCCATAATGCCGGTAATCAAGGAGGCGTGCGAACACGTGAATCGTGCGAAGAGTTGAGTCGTTTTACCGAGTGCAAGATTATTGCTCCTTGCGTGCTCTTGAGATCTCTCTTCTCTGCTCCACTCCCAGTTCGTTCCAACGATGCTGGCCATGACCTCTTTTCTGCCTGAGGACATCTGCCCATGACCTCTTTTCGGACCCCGCCGCGGAGGTGCCCAGTGAGTGCTCGTACGCCATGGAGCCGCACTGGGACCGAGCGCTGCTCTTGAAGTTCCCAGGGGTGCAGTGTCTGATAACACGTGCGTGAGAGGTACGGGTATTTAAGTTGTGAGCAGTCTCTCGTCATGGCAGGAGCCCTGTTCTTAGATTTTAGGGGGGACGGAACTTTAGGTTCACAAGTGTCACGGCGAGACGAACAGAAGTGGGAACAGGAGAAGCGTTTCAGAGACGGCATCCCTCATCCTTCTCCCTTCTCTCAGCGGCCGCGAAAGTTCGAGCCAGAGTCGCACCCGAATCATGAGACCCGCCCGCTTCGACGGCGGTCCAAGCGAGGGCCCGGGGAAGCGTTCCTTGGGCGAAGGGCGACTCGGCAGCTCAAATGCTGCCCAGCATCGCAGGAGGGGGAGGAGGAGGAGGAGGAGGAGGAGGAGGAGGAGGAGGAGGAGGAGGAGGAGGAGGAGGAGGAGGAGGAGGACAGAGAGAGGGAGGAGGGAGGAGGAGGGATGGAGCGAGGGGGGGGGCGACGCACTGCCTCCAAGGCGGGGGCCCCTCCGCGTCGCTGCGCCCGGTGCCCTCCGACCCCGGGCGCGCCCCGAGCACGGGCGAGCCCCGGGGGCGGCCTCATGGCAGGCCGACGCCGCCGAGGAGAGCCCCGGGGGGGGGCCCACGCCCGCGGCGCCGAGGAGAGCCCGGCGGTGGGCGCCTCCGCGCCCCGCCCTCCTTCGACTAGACTGAAGGGGCCCCAGGACACACAAACAAATACACACAAATAAAAGTATTCCCCATATTTTCCCATATTTTCTGGGTTTCTGTCTTCCCCCCCACTTCCCATATTTTCCCATATTTTCTGGGGAATCGGGGAATCGATGATTAATTGTGTCTGTGTGTTTTTCCCCCTCCTGAGTAAGAGTGACCTTTCGCCGGAGTGACCTTTTGTGCCGGCACAGATGGGTCCCCAGATGGTTGAAAACGAAGCAGGAGTAGCGGCTTGCGCGCCCAGGTTTGGTCCCCCCGCGGCCCCCCAAGAAGCCGCGCAGCAAAGGTCACTCTTGCCCAGGGTCACTCTTGCGTGTAGCCGACTCCTGGGCGTCTCCCCTCTCCACGGAGCTCCTCTCGATGCCTCCGGCCCGCTGCGGTTCGATGTCGGTGGCAGCCCGTCCCGAATCGATTCGGAGGCGATTCGATGCGATGTCGATGGCATCCCGTCCCGATTCGATTGGATGCCTCCGGCCCGATGCGATTCGATGTCGGTGGCAGCCCGTCCCGGTTTGATTCGGGTGCGTGCATGCCGATCGGGGCTCCGACGTTGTCAGCTGAGGCGTGCCAGCTCGCCGATGTCCGCCAGTGCGATGTTTCCCGCTGCGGCCGCCGATTTGCGCGGCTCTTTTCGATCGTCGATCCAGCTTCTCGATGCGATTCTGGGCTCTCCTGCCCCAGACAGAAGGTCCCCCAGGAGTGATGGGAAATTCCAGGATTTACCCCCATCGGGGCTGCTCGGGCGCACCCCCGATCAAGGATGGACACCCCACCAATCGCGTAGCCCCGACGTTGGCCGGTACTGCTGCTGGGCCATCGGGAGCCCCTCGAAGTTGGAGATTGCGGATCGCCTTGCCCCCCCGTCGCATGGCTGCGGATGCCCCCCCCCCCACCTCCGCTGACCCCGCCGGGGTCGCCGCCGCCGCCGTCGCCGCCGCCGTCGCCGCCGCCGTCGTTCGCGTCGGCGCCAGCGTCATCGTGACGCGATCCCGTCGGGCCCCTCTAAGCGAGGACGCTGAGAATCGGCGGCGAGCGAGGGGGGGAAGCGAGAAGGAGAAAGCCTTCTCGGAAGGCCGCGGGGCTTCGCAGCAGCCCGCGGGCCTTCTGGGAGACGTGCGGTGTCTCCGGGGAAGAGGCTTCGAGAACTCCTCCGAAGGCCAGGGGGCTTCCGAGCTTCCCGAGGAGGCCCGCCCCCTCGCGCCTCCTCCCCCGCCCCCCGCGCTCGCCGCCGAGAGAAGCCGGGGCCTGGGCGCGCCCAGGGACGGCTGCGGCCGTGGCTCGAAGCAGTCGGACGCTCGGGGGCCCCGGGCCGGCTGCGCAGGTCTGGGGGGGACGTCGGCGGGCGCCGCCCGCGGGGGCGAGGGGAGGCACCACCAGTGGACGGTCCTGAGCCGGGTGCACGCCGCACGGGTTCGCCGCCGCGGCCCCGCCCCCTCTTCCCCGCGCTGCACGCACGAAGTGGGTACTGAAAGAATGGGTACGATGCCCAACAGCGGATCTGGTTCAGTTTGAGCAGGGCTCGCTGTCCACGCCGCGGCGGCTTGTGTCCATTCGAGACAGGAGGCCGCCTGCCCAACAGCGGCCGCTGTTGGTTTGGAGAAACATTTGCTGTTGGGCATGGTACCCATTCTTTCGGTACCCATTTCGGGCGTCCAAGCCCGCGCTCTCCCCCCCCCCCCCCACCTCCCCTCTCCGGCCTCATGGGGCTCATGGCGGGACCCCGGGAGCATCAGCCCAAGCGCTCAGCGCGAGGTGAAAAGCCGTTCCCGGCCAAGGGGCCCAGACGTATGAGGTCTGGGGATCCCTGGTGTGCAAACATTCTACATGCCATTGGATATCCGGGTCTTCCCCGTTCTCCTTCTCCTCCTCCTTCTCTCCCTGTCCGTCTTCTCCTTCTCCTACCCCCCCCCTCCTCCCCGTCGAGGGCCACGGATTCCTGGACGTGTTGAACCTTATTGTTGGTGGGCTTCCAGAGATCTCCAGGGACCTCCGCAGTGCCCCTGAGGGCCTTCAGGAGACCTCCAGTGGCCGCCTCCTTACTACTCACTTCACTTCCTCCCCCCCCCCCCCGGCCTCTCCCGTCATCCTCTGAGCGTCATCTTCAACACCATCCCCGTTGTCATCCTCGCCGCCCTCATCCTCTCCCGTGTCTCCACATCCTTCCCCCTCTCTTCGTTATCCGTCTATTCTCCCCTCATGTGCCCGGTCATCGTCCGTACTTCTCTGGTGCCCTGTCGCTTTCCTCGTCTTCCTTTTCTGCCGTCCATGTACATACACATATGCACATGTATGTCTGTGAATCCTCATCATTCGCCTCTTGTTGCCGTACCTTTTAGCTACCCTTCTCGTTATCACGCGCTTGTCGTTGTCATCGCCGCTAGCATCATCCTCACCATCATCATCGACAGCATCGACATCAACGGCACCATCACCCGTTCCCACGCTGACCATCGTAGGGTGGGGTAATCATCCTCATCCTCGTGAGCGCAATCTAAAACATATGCATACATATAGTCCTAAATCTCCTGCTCTCTCTCTCTCTCTCTCGCTCTCTCTCTCTCTCTCTCTCTCATATTGGAGTCGTCGCTCGTGTGCGCCAGACTTCCACCTTCGGTTGGACAGTCGCAGTGTCCGCATCCGCTGGCCCTGTTGCCCTCGTCACCCGTGTTGTTGGCACTCTAACGGCGGAGGCCGTTGGTTCTTGAGCGCCTGGCGTCTTGTGGAGATTCTGCGCAGTGGGTAGCCTGACGTTGTTATGGAAACTGTGGAGGAGGAGGAGGAGGAGGAGGCGTCCCTCCTCCCCCCCCCGCCCCTCCCTTCCCGCCCTCCCTGCCTCCCCCCCCCGCCCCTCCCTTCCTGCCCCCGCTGGTTTTTGAGCGCCCGGCGTTTCATGGCAAATTGTGCGTTTGAGCACGCGGATTGCGCGTCTATTATGACACGTAGTTGAAAGAGTTCGGGTAGAGTTTCTTCCACGCATGTTCTTGGATTGGTGCTGATGCTTGCAGTTGCGGCTGTTCTCGACAGTGCAGCGCATCCCAGTTCCCTCGGCCACACAGTCTCTCGTCCCTTCCGCCTGTGCACCTCTAGTCCGAGTCAGTTCGCTCGCCTCGACGATTACCGTATCCCGCAGCTGGCGGATGCGCGAGCACTTGGAGCCGCTGCTCGCCTCTTCGAGGACGCACTTTCTTGATGTTGCTTTGCGGCTGCTGTTTCGGAATGGTTTTGCGTTTTTGTGTTGAAGCCCTTGGGGGTTAGGATGCCCGTTCCAGGTTGCAGGCATCACCGTGCGATCCGTTCGGTATCATTCGAGGTTGTAATCCGAGATTCGCTCTGCGCATGGCTTGCACCTGCGGCGCGAGTGCTGCAGCGGTTGAGGTGCCTGTCCAGTCTTGCTGCTGTATCGCTGCTGGGCTAACTCGTAGCTGCACTGCCTAACCTGTACATCTTCCGCCCCCCCCCCCGTCAGTGCGCCTGAGGCATCTGTTCAGTTTGGACCTTGTTCCATCCAGCTGCCTGCGGCAAAACCCGCCGCCGTGCCTGTGCAGCAGCGCAGCAGGAAGGATATTGAGTGTAAGAGCATCGCAGTTCTGACGAGTAGTCTGCATTGGTGCGGGTCGTGATCCCGATCTCGTCTTCGTCCGCGCGGTAGGAAGGTTGTCGAGTTCACGCCCCGCGGCAATTCAGTGATTGGTGTAAGTTGGGGAGGGTCGTGATCTCGACCTCGTCTTCGTCCGTGCTGTAGGGAGGAGGGGGAGGAGGAGGAGGAGGAGGAGGAGGAGGAGGAGGAGGGGGAGGCGTCCCTCCTCCCCCCGCCCCTCCCTTCCCGCCCTCCCTGCCTCCCCCCGCCCCTCCCTTCCCGCCCCCGCTGGTTTTTGAGCGCCCGGCGTTTCATGGCAAATTGTGCGTTTGAGTACGCGGATTGCGCGTCTATTATGACACGTAGTTGAAAGAGTTCGGGTAGAGCTTCTTCCACGCATGTTTTTGGACTGGTGTAAGTTGGGGAGGGTCGTGATCTCGACCTCGTCTTCGTCCGCGCTGTAGGCAGGAGGGGGAGGAGGAGGAGGAGGAGGAGGAGGAGGAGGAGGAGGAGGAGGAGGAGGAGGAGGAGGGGGACGAGAAGATGAGGACGTGGAGGAAGAGGCTTCTTGGGGCTCTCTTGGGGCCTGCTGGGAGCCTCCCGAGGGCCTCGCGGGGCCTCCCGAGGGCCTCGCGGAGCCTCTTGGGGGCCTCCTGGGGCCTCTCGGGGCTTCTCGGGCCGTCTTTGGGGGACTTTTTGCCCGTCTCTCTGGGCCGTCTCGGTGCCCTCTTGGAGCACTTCAGGGCCATGTTGGCGCCGCTCGAGAGCTAGCCCATTGGGCGATCTTTGGGTCCTCTTGGGCCGAGTTGGGCCCTCTTGCTGGCCGGTTGTCTTGGAGCTATCTTGGAGGCCTCTCGGAGGCCTCTGAGGCCGTCTCGCGCAGTCGGAGTACCAAACAGGCGAGAGCCTCAAAAAATGGTGTTGGCTTCATCGGACTCCCCAGGAGGGCGTCTTGGAGCCCTCTTTTGGGCCATCTTTGGGGCACCTTGAGCTGTCTTGAGGCTGTCTTGGGAGCTTCCTGAGCAGTCTTGGACCATCCTGGGCCGTACACTTGTTCAAAGGCGCATGTCCTGGGATCTGTCTTGGAGGCTATCTGGGCCGTCTGGAGACCGACAGCACAGCCGGAGGGCAAACTCGAGGGAGGCGATGCCAGATGGACGGGTGCCATTCGGGCGGGGGGGTCGGCCCGGGAGAACTTAAAAAAGAACTGCCCGTTCAACCGGCGAGCATCCCAGCACGTCCCAGGGGGCATCGGCACCGGATCGGCTGCAGCAATGCTGGGCGCTTTGAGATCCGCCCTGAGCGTGAACCGCTGGCAGTCGTGAGCAGTTGTCCTCTCTGTTCGTTGTACTCCTCAGTGTTTCGGTTTCTCGCGCGCTATGTACATATGTCTTCATGGATGCATGCATGTATGTATACGCACATAGGGATGTCTCGTTTTCTCTCTCTCTCTCTCTCGCTCTTTCCCTCTCTCTCCGCCTCCCTCGCTCCCTCTCTCTTTGTCTGTTGCTTTATCTCTCTCTGTCATTTGCTTGTTCATTTGTTGTTTGTTATTTCTCGCTCTCTCTCTCTCTCTCTCTCTCTCGTCTCGCTCTCTCTGTCTCTCTCTCTCTCTCTCTCTCGCTATCTCTCCTTTTCCCTCTCTCCCTCTGTTGTTTGTTTCTCTCTCTCTCTCTCTTTCTCTCTCTCTCTCTCTCCCTCTTCGTGTCCGTACGATGTATACCCATTCTCATGTATAGTAGCATGCGGCCCATTCCTCCATCGTGCCTGTGTCGTGGGTCCAAGGCGCGCTAGATGAATCTCGGAGTCTCCAAGGACGCGAATCGGGGCCTCTCCGAGGCTTCTTGGGTGCTCAGGCTCAGGGGCGCCTTCGGGTGGCCTCCGTCGGGGGCCAGATCGCGTTGAAGGGCTCCAGCTATCAATTCGGGTTCGGGACGGGGGTAGTGTTTGCGGCACATGCGGAAGGGCGTGTAGGGGGAGGGGCGTTCAAACCATACAGAACACCTACCAGGGGAGTCCTTGGCAGTGTGCCAGTCCTTAAATGTGCCAGGGGGCACAATGGCGGATGGACCCTTGCGTCTATGTATACACATGTCTATGCACATGTATGTGTGTACCTGGTTTCCCTCGGTCTCTCTGGTCTCCTTCACGTCGGACCCATCGTGTCAAATACGATTCATCTCTGTGCTGCAATGAACTGTGCTTGCCATTCTGCGTCTGTTTCGGTCTCTGTCCGTATTTCCCTCCCGTCCTTCCTCCGCTTCCTCTGTCCCCTTCCCCTCCCTCTTCTGAATTCGCTCCGTGGGCAGGATCGGTTCCTGGGAGAGCCGCTGTGCTCCGATGAGTTGCTGCCCATACTCACGCTGGCGATGCCGAACGCGTCCGCGAGCTCGCTGTCAGGAGGGCCCCTGCCACTGGAAGTGCACCAGTCTCTCTTTTGTCTGTATCACATTGGCTGCAATTCAAACGAAGAGGAGGAGGAGAGGAGGATGAGGAGGAGAACAGGGTGCCCACCTCACCCCTCCTTCATTTCTCCTCCTCCTCCTCGTGGAACCTCCCTCCACAGCGTGAAGACATTCACAACCCCCCAAAGCCTTCTGCAATCTTTCTCCTCTTCCCCCGTCCTCTGCAAACATCGCCCAGCAGCAGGAAGGGCTGGAGATGAAGTGGGAGCAGGGAGAGGGGGGGGGATGGAGAAGGTATGTGCGCTCGCGTGGTATCTGACATCCTACCCTTCCCACACTCCCTTTCCATGGCACTGATTCTTCCGTATCCGCCGACGGGTGTCCCAGCGCACATGGATCCCCATGACGGCCTCATCGTGTGGTGCGCAATTAGAAACCTGAGCAGTGTGCACTGGAGGGGGAGGCGGCGGCTGAGCAGGAGGATGAACAACAGAACAAGGAGGAGGAGGAGGAAGAGGAGGCGTAGGATGAGGAGGAGGAGGCGTAGGAGGCGTAGGAGGAGGAGGAGGAGGAGGAGGAGGAGGAGGAGGCACCAGGGGGAGAACGAGAAGCAGCAGCAGGAACAGGAGCAGGAGGAGCAGGAGCAGGAGCAGCAGGAGCAGGAGGAGCGGGAGGAGAGGAGGGAAAAGGGATGGGGGGCGACAACGGCAAAGAAGGAGTCGGTTCCAGAAATGCAGCCCGCGCTGGCAGGAGCGCCATTCGGAACGATGGGCGCAAAGCCCGGATCCAGAAACTTGGGGCCAACGCTGCAGCAGGAGCACCATTTGGAACACACACAAACGACACTTGATAGGAAAGGAGGAGGAGGTGGAGGCGGGGCGAATTCCAGTAGCACCGATGGCGGCTGTGTTGTGGCACGGCAGCAGCAGCAGCAGCAGCAGCAGCAGCAGCAGAATGATGGGGATGAGGTTGCCCGCGCCGTGCAGTTGCCGCGCGCTGGAGGCCGTACAGACGCTGCGGCTTCTGATAACGTAGATCCGAGCCGTGCATCGAAAAGAAAGCAAGGGAGGGGGAGAGGGGTACCAGGAAGAGGAAGGAGGAAGACAGATATGGAAGGTGGAGGAAGGAGGGGGAAGGAGAGGGAGGAGGAGGAGGAGGAGGAGGAGGAGGAGGAGGAGGACGGATAAGAAAGGTGGAGGAAGGAGGGGGAAGGAGAGGGGGGAGGAGAAGGAGGATGAGGAGGAGGAGGAGAAGGAGGAGGAGGAGGAGTGAAGAAGACTACGAGGAGCAGCTGGCATATCCCACCGCCGCTGGTGTACAGTGCTGGCACGGCGCCAGAACGCGATGTCGGCGCAGGCTTTTGCAGCCGCCATTTGGATGCACGGTGCTAGGGGAGACGTGCTAGAGCGATCTCCGCTTCTTCCACCGCCTCTCCCGCCCTCTTTACACATCCCCTCGCACACAACCCTCCTCCTTCCCTCCTCCATGATCATGGCCATGCGTTTAATGCTCGTCGAACTCATCATCGTTCATATTCCTCGACCCATATCCGGTCCTCCCGCCTCCTCTCATTTCGCCCTCTGTTGTACTTCACGCTGCCACGGCACAGTGTGAAGACGTGGCTCTGGCACGCAGAGGCAGTTCAGTAGCACGAGATAGCAATTCTCTGCGAAGCCGCTATACATCAACGCGTGGGCACAGAGCCCACACACTTCGTGTATTGCAATTGGCCTTTCGCTACGCGTTGCCACCGGCGCCGTGCCAAACCAGAGTGGAGCAATGCCCGTACCACGAAATAGCTCTGATACTCCTTGAGGCCGTCAAGCTACGGAGACGAGTGGATGACGGTGAGTTGAAATGCCCGTTGGCCAACGAAGTCTGAGCACATGATGGAGCTTTGGAGAGCAGGACGAGTAGTTTGTCTTGAGAAACCGCGACCGCACAGTTGTCGTGGACGCGAAGTGCACGTTCAATGATAACGTAAGGTCTTGGGTCCAGTGGAGAGGGTGGGTGAAAGGTGCCGCAGCCGACGATCGGTGTCCACAGACAGTGTGGCACGCCAGTGCACCTGCATTCCGTACCACGCATTCCTTGTGTCTCAGTTGGCGACCCTTTGTCAATTCACGTTTCCTTTTGCCTGCCTTTCTTCGCCATCGCCAGGAACTACGCGGGTAGAGGAGCTGCCGTTGCACGCCGCTGCCACTCGAGGCATTCAGGCAGGCTCTGCTTCTGCAGTGCTGTAACTTTGGTGCGCAATGCATGGGTGCAGAGTGCATTACAGGATGGCTTTGCAGACGAAGGTTTGAAGCGCTCGGGTCAACACCTAGGATAATACGGTGATCAGTTTTGAGCTTGTTGGTATTGCATAGCGCTCCATGAGGAAGAGGTGCGCGTTCCTACTGTTTGGCGCACACTTTGCTTCATCAATTAGTCAACGCGCAACTCTGTATGATTGGGTGCCTGGGGCCCATCGTATCCCAAATGTTGATCGCTCACGTTTATGGGGCAGCCCTGCTCAGACACTAGACACTGCATGTTCCTTCGTCCGGAGCGGGCGCACAAAGAAGTCGTTCCCACTTTTTGGCGATGATACCGCATGTCATTAAACCTTGGGGCGAGTACGTGCGATATGGTCTCTCTGCGCGATGGCCATGGAGAGTATTCCTTTCAAGCGCTGAGGCAGAGACGTGTGACATTACCACGCTATGTCGTACCACCCTAGCTGGAATGCAGATCCGCTCAACATCGAATGTGCATCTACGCAAAGTGACCAGACAATTCGAGGTTCTCCTGGGGCCCCGTAGGGCCGTCTTAGGGCTGTATGGGACATTTATTGGGCAAGTCTTGGGGCCCACTTTGGGGACATGCTCAACCGCCTTCGGGCGATCTTGACAGTCTATTTGGCCGTCTTGTGCCTGAAGCCGAAAAAGTTGAAACATATCATTAAGGGGAGTCAGTGGCTTTTGCTGATCGGGGCAATTCTGGGGTACCTTTTGAGGCGTCTCGGAGGCCTCTTGGTCTGTTTGCAGGTCGTCCTGGGTCGCCTTGGGGCCCTCCTGCGCCCTCTGGGATGCACCTTCAGCTTGCTTGGCCGCAGCCGCTTGTCGGAAACTGGAACGTATACATTACCACTGGCGGGCTATTTCTTGATTCCCAGGACTTTTTGAGGGCCGGGGACGACGTCGGGGTGGTGTGGTGTATACCTTTCCCCCAGTTTCCTAGGGAAACAGCGAAACATGTATACACCAGGATCCCGTATGCACCAGGGTCCGCTCTCTTGCTTGCAGACTTCAGTGCAAGGCTGGAAACAGTGTCGGTGTATAGTGTTTGGTTCTCTATCGGGGGTGAAGGAAAAAACAGGGGATGACAACAAAAACCGGGGGTGAAAAAAAATCTGGGTTTTTTGACCCCTGGGGTTTTTGTTCACCCCTGGGTTCTTTCAACCCCGGGTTTTTTCACCCCCCGGTTGTTTCACCCCTGATTTTTTCAACCCTGATTTTGGATCGACCGGACGCCGACCAAAGGGCCCTCTTGGAGGCTCTCCTGGACCCATCTCGCTGGCGGACCTGCTCTCTGCAGGGGCCGGCGGGTCGCGCGGCTGCGGGCCGGCAGCGGAACCGCGTGGGAGGGCGCCGCGCTGCAGAGGTCGGCACGCCAGGGGCACCCGAGCTTGCCACAGGTCAAGCAGTGGCGAAGCGTCCTGGCTCGCCCATAGCCCTACCAAGCACTGTTCTAGGAGCCTTCCTGTGGTCTCCAGGACATGTGCTTCGAACATTTCTGGCTGGGGCTGTCTTGGTTTAACACGTCGGGCTCATGTGTGAGAACCTTGTTTTTGTTATTTATGAGAACAGGTTTGGGTTCTGAGAACATGTCGTGGTAGGGCTAGAGGAATGCCGGGACGGTCGGTCCCTGCTCAAACAGGGTGGCTGCGGATCGAAGGCGCCCGCGGCGCGAAGTGAGGAGGAGAAGGCTTTCTCAGAAGGCGGCGGGACGTCTCAGAAGCCCATGCGCCTTCGGAGAAGTTTATGACGTCTTCGGGGAAGGCTCCGAAAACTGTTCAGAAGGCCGGGGGACTTCCGAACCTTCTGAGGAGGCCTTCTCCTTCTCACTTCCCCCCCTCGCGTGCCGCCGACTGGAGGCTGTCTAGGGGGCCGCACTGGGCCACCTTGGGGCCCTGTCGAGACCTTTTGGGGCAGTCCTGGAGATCTCTGGTGCCGTCCGAGGGCCGTCTTGGGGCGTCGCGGGGCAACATCTGGGGCTTCTGGGGCCGTCTTGGGCTATTTCGGGGTCTATTGCGCCGTCTTGGGCCGTCGGAAGCCCGAAAGGGGGCGAGAACGCGGAAATCCGTCAACACACGTTTGTGGGACATCCGGGATTTGGGTTTCCTGGATGGTTTCGTGGAGTCCTCTTGGGCATCGTGGGTGCCTCTTGGGCCGTCTGGGAGCCGTCTTGGGACCATCTTGGGCCGTCTTGGAGGCATCTTGGGACCAGACTGCTGGGCCCTCCTAAGGACATTACTGAGAGGAAGCCGACGGCATGCTCCTTCTACGCGGCTCTCCGCGTGGCCTGTTGGGTAGTCCGAGGCTCCACTTGGAGTTCTGGTAAGGACCAATGCCCAGCACACCCACGACCCCTGGGCCACCCCACACCCACAACCCCTCGGCAAGGACCACCGAGGAGCATCCTAGATCATGTACCAAAAAAGGCACGCACGAAAGCGAAACCATGCACGGGGAATGGACGTCCGAGCGATGGCAAGAACCCCTCTTGCAAGCAACAGCAGGTGGCGGCGGATCTAGTGGCCTTCGACCCATCCCGCCACCGTGCCTGGGCCGTTGCCCCCGAGGCTTTTTGGAGGCCTCTGGTAGTCTCTTGGGGAGCATCTTGGGAGTCTCTTCGAGATTTGTTTGGGAGCCACCAGGGGGCTTCTTGCTTTTGGGGCCTTTCTGGATGCCCTCCGGGGTCTCTTGGAGGCCTATGAGTTCTCTAGTCTTGTTCCCTTCTCTTCTCTCGCTTCTGCTGGTGATTCGTGCTGCGCTTGTCGCCCCAGTGTTTCGTGTTTTTACGATTGCTGTTTCGATGGTGCTTGCACCGAGGAGCTCAATATGTTCCTCCAGGAACTGGATGGGCGTGTCGGCCGTTCGCCGCGTTTACGGGCCCGTGCCGACTCGTGGTACAGTCGGCCCGGATTCGTAGGTCGACCTTGCTAGCTCAAGGGTACCCTTGTGTCCTGTGCCTCGCGACACGTGCCTTCTCACTTGGCGGCGCGCAGAGGGGGGTAGGGGGAGGGGGGAAGGTTTCTTAGAAGCACCCCTGCTTCTTAGAAGGCGCGGGCCTTCTCTGTAGACGGAAGGCCGAGGCCTTCTAAGAAGCAGGGTGCTTCTCCCGCCCTCCCCCCTCCCCCTGCCCCCCTCTGCGCGCCGCCAACTCACACTCCTATGGCGATATGGCCCTCGGAAGGGTCTTGTGTCCTCTCGCGTGTTCTCTCCAATCAAGGCCGACTGTACAGTGAGCGGCTTGAATAAGGAACACCTCTTTTTCAAAAGGGGTTCGGTCGTTCCTTGGGTTTGCATGCGTTCTGCTACCTTTTTGGCGGCGAGCCCCCCTGGTGTTCCTTCGGACTTCGCAGGCTCACTTGGAACGACAAGGGGCTTCGTTCCTTATTTGTCGTTCCTTAGGTCAGGCCGACGACTGTACCGCCTCGTGCACGCCCTGCGTTTCGGGGGGGGGGGGGGGGGGGGGGGTGTTGCGCTGGCTTTTCGCGCGCGGCGGGCCGCCGTGGGGCCGCCCCGAGGGGCGCCCCTCTGCGCGCGGGGGGGGGGGGGGGCTGCGCTGAGCGGTGCCGCCTCGCGGGCGCAGCGGGGGCTCCCCGCGCGCGGGGGGGGGGGGCCGTCGAGGAGGCCCTCCTCCTCCTCCTGCTCCTCCTCCTCCTCCTCCTCCTCCTCCTCCTCCTTTTTTCCTACTGCGCCTCCTCCTCCTCCTCCTCCTCCTCCTCCACCACCACCACCACCACCACCCCCTCCTCCCCTTCCTCCTCCCCCTCCTCTTCCTCCCTCCTCCTGGTTGCGCCCCGTTGCCGACTCGCGGGCGCCGCGAGAGCTCGCGCGGCACAGCTTGCGCCACAACGCCTACACACCACCTCGTTTACACCACGTAGCGTGCAGTTTGCACACGGAGAGCAGACCTCTAAGTTGGCCTTGCATCACATAGCGTGCACGCCATATCGCACAGCCTGGCTTACACGTCATAGTTCGCACCACGGCGAACACCGCAAATATGTTTACCTCCATAGCGCACAGCTTGTACAACGTAGCGTTCACCACATAGCCGACACCGTACAGCTCTCACCTCCACGGTGCTGTAACGCACTGTCGGATCTCCGCGCTGACTAGCACTAGAGCTTGCACCATATGCTCTCTGCTTACTCTGCCTGTGCCACCGGTGCCACGGGCGCACCACCACAGCCAGGCACCCGACGTCACAGGAATCCCTAACCGGGCACGCAGGAAGCGGGATCCTGGGAGCACGGCCGTCCAGCAGTGCGGCCTGCGGACCAGTATGGGTTTGGGAGGGGCTTTGGCGTTTGGGCCTTGGCTTCTTTCTAGGTCGGGCAGCCTATGCGTGCGAGGATCGTTGTGGCCAGAAACGCTGCTGTGCTCACTCTTCAGCGTGCTTTTTATCCTAGCGCGATGATTGTGTCGACTGGATCTCTTCACCACCGGGAGCCCAGGAACCCAGCCACCGAAAGGTTCAGCTAATGTTTTCCTATAGCGGATTTTTTTGGAGCCGGTGGCCAATCGTCATCTTATACATTCACATCCGTTTGGATCGTGTCAGCGATTCTACAGGCTTGTGCCACATCCGTCGGTTTCTAGGTGTTTCGGAAGACAGCGTCTTGGGCGCCCAAGTACTGCCCGCAGGGGGCAATGCATACAAGGAAGCGTGACCGATTGGAGAGGGGGCTCTCCTCGAGGGTTCTCTGGGAGCCGTCTTGGAGCGTCTACGGGGCCTCTGGGGGCCCTCCTGGTCCGTCCGCGGCGCCATGCTGGCCGTATTGGGGCCAGCTTGAGATTGGTGAGGCCTCCTGTTGGGCCGTCACGGGGCCATCTTGCGCGGTCTTGAGCCCGCCTCGGGGTCCTCTTGGGCTGTCTTGGGTGCCTCTCCGGGCCGCCCCTGGGCCTCCAGGACCTGTCGGGGGGCCCTCCTGGAGGCCTCCTAGCCCGTCCCGGGTCGCGGGTTGGGGCCTCCGAATAAATCCGCCAACCCTGTCAGTTTTATTTGCGCAGGGAACGTGCCAATTTTCGCTTGTTGGGGCCCCCGCGGGATGGAGCGCCTACGGGGCCTTTGGGGGCCCCCCTGGGAGGCGTTCGGCCCCAGGTGCCGCGGCCGCGCGAACGCGTGCCCCCGCGAACCTTGCGCCCCCTCCCTCGGCGGGCGCTCGGGCCGACCCCAGCGCGCAGCCACAGCAGCTGCCGCACGCGCCGTGGCTATGTCCGGCGCTGCCTCCCCGCGTGGGCAATCCACGCGGGTGCGGGCTGATTTCCGGAACGTCGTTGAAGAAGCCAGTTGGCTCAACGGCGCCCCTGGAGGGCCCGATCGAGCGAACAGAAGGCCCTACTACACGATCCGCGGCGCCCTGGGGTCATCTTGCGCTGAGCGGGGTCAGTGTTGCACCGTCCTGGGGCCACCTTGCGCGGTTTGGAGCCCGCCTCGGGGTCCTCTCGGACTGTCTTGGGCGTCTCCTGAGCCGCCCAGGAGCCGCCCGGAGCCGTCGTGGGGCCCTCCTGGATGCCTCGTGGCCCGTCTCGGGTCTCTCGGCAGGGCGTCTGACCGAGTTCCCCAAGATGTCATCTGTCCTCTCAGGGAATGTGCCAAGTTTGGCTTGTCGGGGCCCTCGCGGAGGGTTTTCTGGAAGCCCTCGGGTGGCGTGTTGGAGGCTCCGATGGCTGTCCGGAAGCCATGTCTGCACGACTGGGTGCCATCGGGGATCGTCGAGGGGCCCTTGGTGAGCGTTCTTTTTCTCCCCACGGTAACGCTCGTCACCAAGGCTACCCCCCCTCTGGGTAACGCTATAGCGATCGCACTTTGGGGGGGGGGGCCTGGACCCTCCCTGTACATGTTGCAGTGAACGCAGGCGATAGATGCGCCAGCGGCGCTGGCGCACCGTGGCGGGTGCACGCCGCAGCCGCCGTTAGCGCTACCCTCCCGCCCGACCCCCTCCCCACCTCGAGCTAGCGGCTGCTACCCGGGAAAGACACCAAACGGTCACCTGAGAGGCATGCCGATGCCATGCAGGCCGTCCATCGGAGGGCACCAATTAGACACGAACACCGATCCTGGCCCAGGATCACCCTGGGCCCAGGATCGGTGCATATGCCTTCTTGCGCAAGGCAGGAGGGCGTATGCACCGATCCTGGGCCCAGGGGGATCCTGGCCCAGGATCGGTGCTGGTGTATCGTTGGTGCCCTCCTATGAGAGGCACGCCGATGCCATGCAGGCCGTCCAGGACCGTCCGAGGCGGCCCGGGCCGCCGGCACCGGTCGCAAGTGCCCTCCGCTCCAGGCCGGGCGGACGGGCTCAGGGCCTTGGGGGAGGGGTTTGGGGGAGCGGCAGCAGTCTCGCGCGCCGCAGCTCCCACGGGGTCGGGTGCTCAGGGGAAGACAGTCGGGGCGTTGACCTAAGGAAGCCTAAATCAGGAACGAGCCCCCTTCTTGTCCAGAAGTTCAGCTTCGGTTTCCGATCGAGAACATAGGAAAACCTGAGGCAAGCTGTGAAACACCTAAGGAACGCGGAGCCCCTCCCCAAGGAAAAGGGTTCCTTCTTCAGGGCCCCGACTGTAATGCGCAGGCGAGCTACAAGTTAGGGGTGAGTGCTTCCAGTAAGCTCCAGGATGCAGACAGCAGTGTGAGCCAAAGGGGCTGCACGAAAATGAGAGCAAACAGATGGCTGACACTATTGCAGAACCTAGTGATTGATGCAACCCCCAAGCGTCTCCCTCCGCTGGTGGAGGGTGGCGGCGTTCAACTCACGACTAAGAGCTGCCCCGGCCCTTATGGGAGGACATTGGAGAGAAACCATTACGAACAGCCAGCGGCTGTGAACACTGCTGCCCTCCTGAAGGCACAGGCCAAATTTGCCGGACAAATCTGCCGGCGGGTGTTTGTGTCTAGATGTTCTTAGCGTGTGGGACAGTAATAGGACAGACAAGTAAAACCCCTTCGTCTTCGACCCCGCGTTCGCCCGCCCTCTCCCCCTTCCAATTTCAAAGTTGGTTTCGGCCTCCCGGAGGCCCTGGGGGTTCCGCCCTGTTTTGTCCTCTCACGCCTGTGCTGCCGGAGGCTCAGGGCCAACCTTGCAATTTTCGGGGAGGGGGGGCGCAGTGTCAATGGTTCCATTTTTTGCCCATCTACGGGATTGCAGCCCTGCTCTCCCACGCTTGCACGCGCCAGCGAGGCTCTCGAGGATGGTCTCGCTGAACTCGGCGCGGCCGCAGAGTGCTCCCTCTACGCGCCCTGGCCGGGTTGCAGCGCTGGCCTGCCTGGAAAGGACCTTTCGGAGGACGAAGAGGAGGAGGAGGAGGAGGAGGAGGAGGAGGAGGAGGAGGATGAGGATGAGGATGAGGATGATGATGATGATGATGATGATGATGAGGATGAGGATGAGGATGAGGATGAGGATGATGATGATGATGATGATGATGATGATGATGATGATGATGATGATGATGATTGATGATGATGATGATGATGATGATGCTGATGATGCTGATGCTGGCTGAGGCTGAGCTGAGGCTGAGGCTGAGGCTGAGGCTGAGGCTGAGGCTGAGGACTGATGAGATGATGAGGATGGATGAGGATGAGGATGAGGGATGAGATGAGGATGAGGATGAGGATGAGGATGAGGATGAGACTGATGCTGATGCTGATGCTGATGCTGATGCTGATGCTGCTGATGATGATGATGATGATGATGATGATGATGATGATGATGATGATGATGATGATGATGATGATGATGATGATGATGATGATGTTGATGATGAGGATGAGGATGAGGATGAGGATGAGATGAGGATGAGGATGAGGATGATGAGGAGGAGGAGGAGCAGAGGAAGAGGAGGAGGAGGAGGAGGAGGACGAGGAGAAGGAGGAGGAGGAGGAGGAGGAGGAGGAGGGGAAGGGGAGGAGGAGGAGAGGAGGAGGAGGAGGAGGAGAGGAGGAGGAGGAGAGGAGGAGGAGGAGGAGGAGGAGGAGGAGGAGAAGGAGGAGGAGGAGGAGGAGGAGGAGGAATAGTCTTACGTTTCAAAGTGTCGTTGGAGAGGGGGGGTGCACGTTTCAATTCGGGGGAGGGGGCGCAGCAGGGCATGGAGATAGCCTCGTGAGTTCTGCTTGTGCTGCCGTGCCCCTGAGATGCCGATTTGGAGGTGGAGCGCTTGGGCCATTGTCCGGACCGGCAGGGGCCCCAGCGAGGACGTCCGCGACGGGATGGTGGCGGGGTGAGGGGTGGGAGGCGTGGAAGCAACCGATCCGCGCCAGCGAACGCCAGGGGCTGCCGAGCACGAGGCAGGTGCTTTCAGAGCGCCCTCGAACGTTCTGAAAATGCCGCGGCGCCCGACACGTCCCCCAGAGCCGCCTGATCTCCACTACTCTCGATTCATCATCCTCCCAATGTGTCCTCGTCGTGGCTCCGTCTTAGGGTGGCACGGAAGCGCTCCGCCAGGGCTGCCGGCATGGCCAGCGGGCCCTGCGTCGAGACGTGCTCGGGGCCGAGGGGCTTTCGAGCAGGTGGCTTGTGGAACGCGCGGCTTCAGCAGGCACCGCACCCTTGAGGCCCAGCTCGTGCCGAACCCGGCGGTGGACCCAGCGGCCTCCAGAAGAGAGGTCGCATGGCGGCGGCGCCGGCTCTTCGCGCTGCATGGGGGGCCCAGCAGCCCGCCCCCGCTGCTTCGAGGGCCCGTGGCGGCAGCTCTGGCACGGGCGCTCGCCCCCCCTCCCCCCCCCCAGGCGGAGGAAGGGTGGCTGCACGAGCTGGGCGGGTTGCCCGCGCTCCCGACTCGGGGGGCCGTGGACGGGGTGGTCGGTCCAAGAGCTGTGCTCGCTGCCGCGGGAGAGGCACGGCCGGATCGCCGACGTCCCGGGGGCGGCGGAGGCCGGGGGCCAGTGGCCTCCCGAGTGGGCGGGCCGAGACCTCCGGGGGTCGACGTCATGAGAAAGAGCGTGACGCCGGGGGGTGCGGGTCGGAGGCGGCCCGCATGTCCGAGCTTGTCTGAGGCGAGAGGAGGGGCGACGCGAAAACGTAGCGAGGCCGGCAGGCACGGTGCGAGGGGGCGTCGGGCCCATCGCCCGCACGTGTCCGTTCTTTCCCCCTCCCCTCCACTTCCCCTCCTCCTCCTCCTCTCAGTTGAGCGAAACATCGGGACAAATCGGAACCAGAGATTCTGGGAGAGTTCCAAGGAAAAATAGAATACCGAATTGTGTTGCGCAGCGCGCGCATTCGCAGAAGTTCCCCAAGGACTTTTCGAGGGCTTGAGGAGCCCAAGTAACACATGGGCGCTCAATTAAACTGTTGAGGGCGGGCAGGAAAACTGGTGTGTATGAGCATTGGGAGCGGGTGCGCGGCTTGCACGGGGGGCACAGTAGTCTTACGTTTGAGGGACTTGGGCGCTGGCCGATGTGTTGATGGGGGGCCCGAGAGTGCGTCACACATATTACGCCTGTGGCGCCATGGAGGCCGCTTGGGGCGCCCCGCCGCGCGCACTGTGGCGACAGCTCTCTTGGGCGCCCGCCCGCCGCCGTGGACGTAGTCGACCCAGCTAGTCTCGCGGTCGGCGCGCGGCGGGTCGGCAGCCACGACGTTGGCGGCCTGAAAATGCTTCGAAAGTGTTTCTCCCCGAGCCCGGGGCTATTGTACGTTTTCGGTGGCACGCGCAGCTCGGAGAAGAATCGCCCTGTCCGTCGGCGGCCAGTTTGCTGTCGTCGCGCAGAAGTACCGGCGGATGGCGCGGTCCACGCTTAGCGCAGAGAGCGTGTCCATGAGCGCGGACTCGACGAGGGGCAGGAGGAAGGACCTCGTGGTCGGGACCATCGCGGCCCGCGATGTCCACGGCTCCCACCCTGGGCGCGTGAGGACCTGCTGGGCGCCGCCGCAGGCCGATTCCAGAGAATCTTGGAACCAGAAATCCGGGCGCCCCAAATTTCGCGGGCCGAAAAACTTTCAGAGAGTTTCGGCCAGCTCCGAGGTTTTGGGTTTACGGGAATGTTGCACGCGGGGTGGCTAGGTCAGAGATTTTCAGAGATTCTCAGAGAAGTTCGGACGCGAGAATTTGGCGCGCCCCGGTTTCTGGTTCTGTGCATCTTTGAAAAGCGGTTCCCCAGGTTTTACCGGATCTCCAGGCGTCCTACTGTCAGCCAGAGACGAGCGACTGGTTGGCGCCGCGCCCGATGCTTCCAGAGTTGCGAACTCGGTCTTCGATTCCCTGGGGCCCGCGGGCCCCTGGGCCAATCGCGAGGTTGCCAAAGCCCCCGGGCGGTTGCGCGCAATTGTCTCCGAAACCAGAGTTGGGCATCCATGGTGGGCGCCCGCGCGTGCGCGCTAGGTGTCCGCGAGATTATTCGGTGGCGCATATTGCATGGCGCGGGGGCCTTCCAAAGACTTTCCGGGGTTTTCTCTACGGTTATTTCGGCGCGTTTCGGGAACCCTGGGGCGGCGCGGGGAAGTCGCCAGGCCGCGCGCGGGCCTTTTTTCCAATGCGTTCTTGGGCATTATCGCGGTGTTGCGTGGCCGAAGAGGTCACTGAGTGCTGCGCTTTTTGACATTTACACGTGTTTTTCGTTGCGTTGGTTGCGTGATTGTTTTGGCGGTCCGCCTCTTTGGGGCCCCCTTGGGGCCTCAAGTTTGTTTTGTTGACGTCGGGTCTTCTGGGGTGAAAGGCGTTTGGCGCTGAATTCCCTCGGGCGTGCGCGTGGCCAAATACGCGCCGTGGCCTCATCCGCGCCGGGGCGCATTTCCTCCCTCGCGAAGCCGATGGTGCCCAAGGCGTGGCAGGCCCGTTCGGCGGCGCCCCCGGTGATTTGAAAAACCGAGCATGATTTTTATCCCGGTCAAATTTTGCCCCGATCCTGGCTTCATTTTATCCTCCTCCTCCCCCTCCTCCTCCTTCTCCTCCTCCTCCTCGTTCTCCGCCCCATTTCCTCGTCGCACTGCCTCGTGCGGTGTTTCTGCTGGTGCCCGCCGTCGTGTGACGCTCATGGTCCATCGCTGGTCTGCCGAAAAGCTGGAAGCGCGCCGCCTCCGAGCGGTGAAGTATGGTTATTGCCAGCCTCGTCCTGCCCCTCACCGCTCTTGGCTGCGCGCTGCCACCAGCATCGAGACCGACGCGGCCATGGTGGTGCGCTCCATGGAGGTCCACACCGAGCACGACCTTCTGGCCGACGGCCCGCCGCACCGCGCAGCGCGGGAAACAATTTGGGCATGCCGCTCGCTGCTTAGTGAGGACGCCCACGCCAAGGCCCAGAGACTGCACAAGAGCGCCAACGCTGCCAAGCACGAAATCGGCAGGAAGGCCAAGGGCCCGTGGTGCCTGGCTCGGACCCGCCATTTGTCTCTGACCCGTGGGCGGCTGCGCGGTTTTCCCCAGCCTCGAGTTTGGCGCCCCCTGCCGCGCGGCAGGCTTTCTCGTCGGTGGCTTGAGGGCACCCCCGCTACGCAGTTCTGCGCGGACCTGCGCAAGGCAGCAGCCGAGCTCACTTTCATCCCGTAAGTCGCGCCGTCCTCCACATGCATGACGGTCTCGGCGCTGGAGTCCCAGCTTGACTACGCCGTGTCCTTCACCATCGCACAGAAGGTAACGATCGCCCAACTCCGTGGTGAGTTGGATGTGCGTGCGCCCTCTGCCGCACGGGTCCCCGCCGCCACGAGCGGCGTCGGTGGTGGGCGTTCCGATGTTGTGGACCCGTCCGCCTACGGCGACCAAGCGATCAAAGAGGTGGAGGGCTGGGTGCTCACGTCAATGCGCACGCTTGTGAACGAGAGCATGGAGGTACGCGTGACGGCGCGGTGGTTTCGTCGGCGGCGTGTCTCACTAAGCTGGAAGGGATCTGTTCGCAGATTGCATCACCTATGCCGCTGGTTTCGCCGTCACCTACGAGTGGGATTGCCTCACCGTTGCCACCTTCCTCGCCTGCTCCTGGCAGTGCCGGCTCGTTCGAGGCAACAGCTCGCCATAGTGTCGTCGGCAAGCCCTCATCCTGATGTGTGTGCGCAGGCCCCTCGCGAATTTTGGGCGAACCCTCTTTTCGCGCAGCCCGCCTTTGTTTTCCCGTGCGAGATCTTGACGATGAGGCTGCTGGCCCTTCTGATGAAGAGTACGAGGAGCGTGGAGAAGTGAAAAGTGTGCAACCGTGTCGGTTAACCTGCCAGTGCAACGAGCCCGAGACGAACTGGACCCAATAGTGCTCTGAACCTTGGACGCTCTCTCCGTTGGCTCCCCGGTGGCCTTCCTGAGGGACTCGCTCGTGGTCGCCTAGGTGGACTTGGTGTCTTCCCCTCTGCTTTGTGCTGCTCTGGGTCCTCCTGCTCCTCTGCTGCCTGTGCCGCGTCTCTGTTTGCTTCGCTCTTCGGGTGGCTTTCGCCTTCCGCGGTTTCGGTTCACTCTCACTCCGTCAGTGGCGGCTTCGAGAGCAGATGGACTGGAGATCGATTTTTTTCTTGCGCTGGGCTCCTCCTCCTCCTCCTCCTCCTCCTCCTCCTCCTCCTCCTCCTCCTCCCCCTCCTACTCTTCCTCATCCCCTTCCTCCCCCTCCTACTCTTCCTCCTTCCCCCCCATCCTGATTTTTCCTCATAGTTGCTTCCTCTCCCCAGGTGTCTCTCTCTGTCTCACTGCTCCCCGCTATTCCCCCTTCCCCGCGCACTCCCTTCCCAGCCCCATCCTTTCTCGTCTGCGCCACTACCGATCATATATTCTCCAGCCCCCTTCCCATCTGCACCCAAACCTCTCTTGTCCTCCCGCCTTCCCATCCTCTTGAGGGTGCAAGCCCGACTTGTCTGGCTGCTGCTTTCAGCGGGCCTGTGTTCAGGGGAGGCTGCTGCCCGGCTTAGCAATGTGTTGTTAACCGAACTTGCAGCGTGGGCCATTTCTCTTTCAGTGCAGTCGAGCTTTGGGCGGATCGGTGTGGAAAGGCGGGCATTTCCGATCTACGTCTTCAAATCAGATGGATACATGTCCCACATTCTATGCTGGAAGATCAGCCAAAGTACGATAGGTTCGTGGCGCACTCAAGGCGCAGCCTCGATCTGAGACCCTCCCGGAGGAGGAGGAGGAGGAGGAGGAGGAGGAGGAGGAGGAGGAGGAGAAGGAGGAGGAGGAGGAGGAGGAAAAGAAGGAGAAGGAGGAGGAGGAGGAGGACCCTTCCTCGGCTCGTGCGCAGGAGGGGCCCCGCCCCCCTCCGGCCTCTGCCCCACCGTCGCCCGCGGCCCTCTTCAGGATAGGCGCGCCAAGAGCCCGGTGGCCGGCGGCGGCCTGGAGCCCGCCGAGCGCGACAGGCGCGGAGGCGGCGGCGGCGGCGGCGCCCTTGGCGGGCGCGGCAGCGGCGGCGGCGGCGGCGGCGACGTTGGCGGGCGCGGCAAGGACGGTGGCGACAGCGGCGGCGACGGCAGCGGTGACGGCGGCGGCGACGTTGGCGGCGGCGGCACTGATGGCGCATCGGCGGCAGTTGCGACGTTGGCGGGCGCGGCAAGGACGGCGGCTGCGACGCCGCGGGACTTCGGAGCCTTCGTGGAGCCACATTTTGAAGACCACCCGCCTGCAATCAGGGAATTTCTTGTAAAAGTAACACGACACGAATGTGCGCGGCGCCAAGGTGAGACAGGGGGACGGTAGGGAGATCCCAACGTCACAGCGATAGGAGGAGGAGGAGGAGGAGGAGGAGGAAGAGGAGGAGGAGGAGGAGGAGGAGGAGGAGAAGGAGGAGGAGGAGGAGGAGGTGAAAGAGGCTCCTTCCCGTTCTCCTCCTCCCTGTCGTCCTCCTCCCTCCCCCTCCTGGGGAGCCCCCGGGGATCTTCGGAGGTCCTGGGAGGCCACTGGAGGCCTCCGCAGGTTTCTGAGGGCTAAAGGCACCCCCCTAAAGCAAGAGCCCGAATTGCTAAAAGCGTGCACCTTCAACCTGGATCCTTCAGGTCATCCTCCGTCCCCGGACGACTGGCCGCTCCAATTTTTTCTGAGGCGTGGGTCCCGGAGGTCCGGACACCTTCCCCGGGGCCGGTTTTTCATCCCGAGTCGTTCTTTGACGCTCCCGAGGCCCGGCGAGGGCCCCAAGGAGGCCGAAAGTTTCCCAGAACCGCCCGCCCCCATGTTTGCTGGAGCGCCGGCTGTCTGGGGCAGCAGCGCCCCGCGTTTGGCCGCGGGGGCAGGCTCATGCTCGACCTGGCCGCCCGCGGCGTGGTGTTCGGCCGGAAGCTCGGGCTCGGGGGATCGCGCTGCGCGGGGGGCGGCTGGCCGGCGCCTCCCGCCCTCTCTCGGCGGCGAGCGGGGGGGGGGGAAGTGCGAAGGAGAGGCCTCCTCAGAAGGTTCGGAAGTTCCCCCCCGGCCTTCCGAAAAGTTTCTTTAAACGCTTTCCCCGACGACGCAACAAATCGGGGGTGGACAGACCTCCTACCCTGACAAGTCGATTAGCGAATTGGCCGTTTTGGGTTCGCGACAGGGCGTCGCGGCCGTCATTTTTGCAGGTCCAGGTCCGTCGGTTTCGGTCCCAGGCCGTTTTCACTAAAGGGAGGTTTACTAAAGGGAGGCTTCTCCACCGCCGAACAAAAAAGACCTCGCAGAAGGTGCGAGGGCTTCTGAGAAGCCTCGCCGTCTTCTGAGACGGCCTTCTCCTTCTCACTTCCCCCCCTCGCGCGCCGCCGAAAGAAGAAGGAGGAAGGAGGATGACCTGAAGGATGCAGATCGAAGATCCAGATCCAGATCGAACATCAAACAGTTCTAACGTCTTCTCCGATGTCACAAAGGTAACATATCAGAAGGCGCGATGGCTTCTGAGAAGTCCCGCCGCCTTCTGAGAGGGCCTTCTCCTTCTCACTTCCCGCTGGGCGCGCCGCCGAGAGGGAGGAGGAGTAGGAGGAGGAGGAGGAGGAGGAGGAGGAGGAGGAGGAGGAGGAGGAGGAGTTGGCAGAGGACAACGAGGGAAGGGTAAAGTAGGAGGAGGAGAGGATGAGGAGTTGGCGGGAGGATGAGGAAGAGGAGGAGGACGAGGACGAGGAGGAGGACGAGGACGAGGGAGGAGAGAGGAGGAGTTGGAGCGGAGGAGGAGGATGAGGAGGAGGAGAGGGAGGAGGAGGAGGGAGGAGGAGGAGGCGGGGACGAGGGCGATGACGAGGAGGAAGAGAAGGAGGATAATGTGGAGAGGGGGAGTTGGATAGGAGAAGGAGGAGGAGAGGAGGGAGGGAGGTAGGAGGTAAGAAGAGGAGGAGGAGGAGGGGGGAAGAAGGAGGAGGAGAAGGAGGAGGAGGAGGAGGAGGACGAGGAGGAGGCCTTCTCCTTCTCGCTTCCCCCCCTCGCTCGCCGCCGACCTTCTCCGCGCGCCTCCGCTCGCCGTGCCCCCTCGCCCGCGCCAGCAAGGGCGGGGTCTCGCCTTCGCCGCGCCTCGCCTCTCTCGGCGGGGGCCTCGTCCTCGCCATGAGCCTCCTCCTCCTCCGCCTCCTCCTCCTTTCTCTCCCCCTGATCCTCCTCCACCCTCCTCCTCCTCCTCCACCCTCCTCCTCCGCCTCCTCCTCCTCCTGCTCCTCCTCCTCCTCCTCCTCCTCCTCGCTCCTCCTCCTCCTGCTCCTCCTCCTCCTCGCCTCCTCCTCCTCCTCGCCTCCTCCTCCCCCCCCTCCTCCTCAACCTCCTCCTCCTCCTCCTCCTCCTGCTCCTCCTCCTCCTCCTCCTCCTCCTCCTCGCCTTCGACGCGCCTCGCCCCGCGGAGGCAGAGCGGCAGCGGGCCCGCCGGCGGCCTGCAGAAGGCTGGCGGAAGGAATTAAGCAGAGTGCTCGGCCCCGTTCCAGCGGCGAGGGTATGTGGCCGGCACCCTCCTTCTCATTCTCCTCCTCCACCCTCCTCCTCCACCCTCCTCCTCCGCCTCCTCCTCCTGCTCCTCCTCCCTCGTCCTCCTTCTCCTCCTCCTACTTCCTCCTCCTCCTCCCTCCTCCTCCTCCGCCTTCTCCTCCTTCTCCTCTCCACCCTCTCCCCTCCTCCCCTCCTCCTCCTCCTCCTCCTCCTCCTCCTCCTCCTCCTCCTCCTCCTCCTCCTCCCCCGCCTTCTCCTTCTCCTCCTCCTCCGCCTTCTCCCCTCCTTCTCCTCATTCTCCTCCTCCACCCTCCTCCGCCTCCTCCTCCTCCTCCGCCTTCTCCTCCTCCTCCGCCTCCTCGCCTTCGACGCGTCTCGCCTCGCGGAGGCAGAGCGGCAGCGGGCCCGCCGGGGGCCTGCAGAAGGCTGGCGGAAGCAACGGTGCTCAGTGCCCGGTCCCCTGCCAGCGGGGAGAGCACATTCAGCCCGCATAGGGTAGGTTTGCGTCGTGTCGATCAGCGGCGACCCCAGCGCGGGCGTTCAAGGTTGAACGCCGCCGGCGACCCAGAATCGGTCGATGTTGAACGATCGGACGTTGCGGAGACGGTCGATCGTTCAAGGTTGAACGATCCCTGCGGTGTCAAAAACCAACGCTGGGGTCGGCACGACACGAACCTGCCGTAGTAACGATAGGCATCCTTGCCTCCTCGGTCCATCCTTCGCCGCTTTCGCTGGCCGCGCCCCGCTCGAAAAGCTTCGAAACGGGCGTCCAAGGCCCGTGCATCCTGATCGCGCATATCCTTACTGTACGGGTTGACTGTATGTGGCCGAGGGGATCGGGGGCCAAACATGTGCCAAACATTGTGACCGATCACGTATAGTGCGACCGAGATGTGATCGCTTTCTTAATCATTTTTGTTTGGCGGAGCGGCGCGGGCCCTCGCACCCCCCCCCTCCCCCTACCCACTGAGTAGATCTTGGCTGTTTGGGGCGCCTGTTTCGAGCCCGTGGGATCCTTCCCCCAGCAGACGCACGGTTCCAAACAGCCGCACGAAGCAGAGGTCTGGAGCCAGACCCCCTCCCCTTTCCGCCCACTGTCGAAACGCCGATTCAGAAAACGCTCACCAGTGCGACCGAGATTGCGACCCACACTGAAGGGCGTGATGGCTTCGGACCAAGCATGTCGGTCACCCTCGGGCGCGGTCGGGAGATGTCGGGCGCCGGCTTCGGTCACACTCGGGTAGACGCTTGGGCACAGCTTCGGTCGACGTCGGTCGATACACCACCCCTGCGACAGAGACACGAGGCTGCGTGACCATGCGAGGCGTCACCACGGTTGAGGTCACGGTTTCCAGAGCCGGGTGCTCGGGCGACTCGACATGTGCCTCTCGTGGAATTGCATTTGCATTCGCTCGTTCTGGGAAGAGGCGTGGATCCAACGCCGTCGTCGTCTCACTTTTCTTGTCGTGGCGACTGCACCGGAGGAGACGGCAGCGACACCACCACGACCATGGGGCATGGGGGGCCACCTCCAGCGAGGGGAGCCACGATGCCTGCCCGAGCTGGGGACGGAGATTTCTCGAGAGGGGGGGACCACACCACCGCGGGATAACCCCTGGCTCCTCTCGCGGATGGTGGTGAGGTCGTTTTGCTTTGTTCGTAGAAGAAGGAGGAGGAGGAGGAGGAGGAGGAGGAGGAGGAGGAGGAGGAGGAGAAGGAGAAGGAAAAGGAGGAAGAGGAGGGGGAGGGGGAAGGGGGGGGAGGGGGAGGGGGAGGGGGAGAGGGAGATGGGGAGGGGGAGGCGACGCTGATCCGTGCTTCCCAGGGCGCCTCGGCCTGACCACGCGGCACCTGCGCAGTGCATTCCGCAGGCCGTGTCCGCACCCAGACTTCCGACGGGCATGTGGCTTCAAGCCTTCGGACCAGGAGGGCGCCACCCCGTCCCCGCGGCCCCGGATCATCAGGGGCAGCGCGAGGCAGGGATAGGCCCAGGGGCGGACGCATCGACCCCCAGTCTCCCACTCATCGCCGATGGGTGCCCAAAAGTCTCATCCCCCCCGGGAGCGTCAGTTTCGCCCCAACGAATCCGTGCCTGATGGCCCGGGAGAGGCCCCCCCCCACCCAGAAACCGAAATTCAGGGAAAGCTTGCAGATCCGGAAACCGAGGGGAGGAGGGGGAGGAGGGAGAGGAGGAGGAGGAGGAGGAGGGAAGTGAGGAGGAGGAAAGAGGAGGAGGAGGAGGAGGAGGAGGAGGGGGAGGAGAAGGAGGGAGGAGGAGGAGGAGGGCAGGAGGAGGAGGAGGAGGGAGAGGAGGAGGAGGAGGAGGAGGAGGAGGAGGAGAGAGGAGAGAGGGGGAGGGGGGGAGGAGGGGGGAGGAGGAGGAGGGAGGAGGAGGAGGAGGAGGAGGAGGAGGAGGAGGAGGGGGAGGAGGAGGGGAGGGGAGGGGGGAGGAGGAGGGGAGGGAAACCGAGGAGGGGAGAGATCGGGGAAACTCCGTGTCGCTCCGCGCCTCGTGGGCGAGAAACATATCCGTGTCCACGGCCTCGCGCGGGCCGGGCCCCTGGGCCGCGACCCCGCAAACAGGTGGCTTTTTTTTGTGTGGATGCCTCGCGCGGATCGCAGCCTCTGGGATCAGCCTCTCCCTCGCCGCAGTTGCTGCTTGCTGCATCCGGCGCCGCCGCGGCCGCCTAGTCGCGTGCGTTAGCCGTCGGTAATTTAAGCCGGTCGCGGCCCGACCTACTTCGCCCGCCGCTAGCGCGTTCGCCTGCGGCCGTAGAAAAAACGGATCGCAGCCATGCGACCTCTTATCCGCGGGATCGCGAGGGCGTGGATGAGAGTGTGTTGTTGGTGACCATCTGAGCCATAACGCCCCCCCATGACGTAATCCCCAACCTCCAAAGTATTGATTTTTTCAATGCGCCCGATTGCATTGAAAACGGGTGTTTGTATTGATTTTTTTCAAACGCGTGGGAATGTATTGATTTTTGGCTAGATGTATTGATTTTTGGTTAGATGTATTGATTTTTGGCTAGATGTATTGGTTTTTGGTTAGATGTATTGATTTTTGGTTAGATGTATTGATTTTTGGTTAGATGTATTGATTGTTGCATGTTGGGCGGGAGAGGGGGAAGGAGGAAGGCAGGGAAGGGGCGTTGTTTCCCTTCCGTTCCCCCCCCTCGTTTCGCTTCCCCTCCCTCTCGTTCCCTGTGCCTCCCCTGCCCTCCGCCCTCTCGCGCCTCGAGCTCCCCTTCCCCCTCCTGCATCCCCTTCTTCTTCCCTTTCCTCGGCCTGCGCCGCCCGCCGCGTCCAGGCCCAGGGCCGCGGCGCCCCTAGGGGCCGGGGGGGGGCGAGGGGCCTCCGCTGGCGGCCAACGGAGGAAGGAAAAAAAAAAGGGGGGAGGAGGGGGGGGAGGAGGGCAAGGAGGAAAAG